CCTTTTTCCTCAAAAATGCCTACTGGACTTTTTACAGGCACATTTCTGGATATTTATCCCAGGCTAAATCACACACACACACACACACACACCTGCGCGCGCGCACACACACACACACACACACACACACACACACACACACACACACACACACACATCTGCGCGCGCACACGCATACGCATACGCATACGCAAACACGTACACACAGGTGGAGCCACAGTCTTGTTAGTCGTTGATAATACTATACCATGTGTATGAGGTCTCTTTGTGTCTGTCTAGGTGTGCCGAGCAAGCTAACAATAATATAGTTGCGTACTTTCGAAGAGAAATACGCCGACAGGTGTCGCGACTAGTCATGGTCGCTACTGCTGCGACGGCAGCCGATGAGGCAATACAATAACATCAAGCTGATATGTGTGTGTATATATATATATTATATATAAATAAATAAATATATATATATATACATACATATATATATTCCCCAGTAAACCCGCTTAAGATTAATAGAAGGTGTGCTTGAGAATAACTGACGTGAGATTATGAGAGAAGTTGTTTCATGGAAGATGTGTGCGATACAGTCGCCCCTGTATAATAAACTCCAATCCTTTACGGGCAGACACGTTATATTGGTCATGCGCACAATTATCGTAATTAAAATCGTTTCCATTTCGTTATCGTATTCTAATTTTGACATTATTAAAAGTGTTATGAGAGATCAACGGAGATGTGTGTGTGTGGGAATCGGCAGGTGTTGGACTTTGTCGATCAATGAGTACTCAATTATACTGAACTATTTTCAGATTATATGATATTTTTGGATTACGGGTAACATTGATTTTCGAGATTCAATGATCACATGCGATCGACCATCGGATTCAGTGTTTTACCTCAACGATGGTCGTGTAAGAATATATATATGAAGAGCTTGTTTGCAAAACTGCCTATGTCCCTTTTGGAGAAATGAGAGAAAACGACAAAAACAATTATTTGACAATCATTTCCATTGTTTTCAGTATTGGTTAAAATGAAGCAAGTGTGTAGCAAGTAGCAGCTGTTTCGCAACTAAACATGATTTATGATGGGTCTTTTAAGCATGATGTATGCTGTTTTTCAAGAAAAAAGTACTGTACACGGTGCCTATGTTCACATACTATACATTGGTGGTTCAAACTTATTTTTGAAAAAAAATGGACATAGGTTTTGCAAATAAGCCCTTCATATATATATATATATATATGAGGGAAACATACACGGACCCCAATGGAGTCATAATATTGAAATAAAAATATAGGTATATGGTATTGTATCTTTATTCCATCCGACCGTACTTTTGCCGGATATTTTCCTTACAGACTCTCTGTTCGTTTGCTTCTCGCCAGGTCTCCTCCATCAACCGAGTTCTACGCAATCTCTCGGCCAGGCCTATGGAAGCCGTAGCGCCCGGCCCCTATGGCTTGCCCGTAGGAAGCTCTACGTGGCCCGTAGGCGCCTGGTATCCGGTGGTGGGGCCGGGAGGCAGTGACGAGGCGAGAGCGGGCGGCAGCAGAGACAGAGAGGAGCCGCGAGACCTGACATCTCATAAAGGTAGGTAGCTTACTGACGGACCACGCGCGGAAACGCGGATAAAAATCGTAACCTAACCAACAGTGATCCTACCCATTGTAACGCTTAGCCATACGGGTTGATGCCCTACCCATTCTAACCTTACCGTGCATTGATTCTACCCATTGTGAACCGCCTTACCTATATATATATATCGCTACCCCTTGTACGCCCTTACCGTAGCTTTGACTGCCTACCCATTGTAACCTTACCTGCCCTCTGATCCTACGCCATCTTGTAACTTTACCTACCTTGATCCTACCCATTGTAACGCTTACGCGTGCATTGATGTCTACCCATTGTAACGCTTACGCTATCCTTAATCCTACCCATTGTAACCTTTACCTGGACATTGATCCTACCGCATTGGTAACCTACACCCTACCCTGAATCCTAATCCCATTGTAATCTACCTATCCTACATCCTAACCATTGTAACCTACTACTCTGATGCCTACCCAATTCCTAACCGCTTTACCCTGCAATTGAATTCTACCCATTGTACACCTTACCTATGACTAATCCCTACACGCCATGTGTAGCCTTAAGCCTACTTTGATCCACTACCCCATTGTAAGCGCTTACGCTGCCCTATGATCCTACCCATTGTAACTTTACCTACCTTGATCCTACCATTGTAACGCGTTACCTGCATTGATTCTTACCCATCTGTAACGGCTTATCCGGCTATCCTAATCGCTACCCATTGTAAGGCCTTAGCCTACTTTGATCCTACCCATTGTCAACACGCTTACCTACCCTGATGCCCTACCATTGTAACTTACCTATTGCCCTTGGAATTCTACACCATTGTAGAATCTTACCTATCCTTGATCCTACGCCTGAGGTGTGTAACTTACTACCTTGATCCTAACCGCGCATTGTAACTCTTAACCTACCTTGATCCTACCGCATTCTAACCTACCTGGCTTGATTCTACCGCATTGTAACCTTACCTACCTTGTTCTACCTCATTGTAACCTAACCAACAGTGGATTCTACCGCAACTTCTATAGCCTTACGCTGGCTTGATTCTAGCCCATTGTAACCTTACCTCCCTGATTCTAACCCTATTGTTAACCTAAGACCTACCCTGATCCCTACCCATTGTAAATCTTACGCCTACCTTGAATCGCTAAATCCCTTGTACCCGCTTAACTACCTTGATCCGCCTAACATTGTCAAGCGCTTAACTACCTTGAAATTCTCCATTTAACCTAACCTACGCCTGCCGATCCTACGAAACCCATCTGTAAACCGCTTAATACCCTGACCTTGATTCTACGCGCGAACCCATTGTAACCTTAGCCTACCAGCTGATGCCTACCCATTGTAACGTGGAGTTAACCTACCTGGCTTTGATTCTACTCCATTGTAACCTTACCTACCCTGATGCCTACCCATTGTAACCTTACCTACCTGATCCTACCCGCATCTGTAACCTTACCTAAGCCTGATGGGCCCTACCCATTGTAACCTGGCCTCTATCCTTGCCTATCTAACTTTACCGACCTTAACCTACCTAAACCTTATCTACTAACCCTGCCTTAATCTTACAAACTCTAATTTTACCCAGCATAACCTACCCTACTTCACCCTAGCCTTATCTGCCCTAATCTTACCTAACCTAACCTACCATTGTCTTACCTGCTCTAATCTACCCTAATCTTACCTAGTCTAGCCTATCATAACCTAACGATACCTACCCTAGCCCACCCTAACCTTACCTACTATAACGTATTCTAACCTAACCTAACCTAACCTTACCTACCCTAACGTGTCCTAACCTACCCTAACATAATCTCACCTACCCCAACCTACCCTAACCTAATCTCACCTACCCTATCCCACCCTAACCTAACCTTACCTACCATAAGGTATTCCACCCTACCCTAACCTTACCTACCTTAATAAGGTATCCTAACCTAACCTAACCTAACCTAACCTATCCTAACCTAACCTAACCTAACCTAACCTAACCTTGCGGATAAACGGCATCGACGGATGCCAATCGTTTCGCAGAGGCGTCTGCGGAGCTGTACACGCAAATTAGACATAACCCTTGCTCACACTGTCGTACATTACGTAGCAACGGAACCGCCGCGGGCGTTGCATCTGCATCTACACCTGCACGGCTGTCGGCGGTTCGTGCACGACCGCCCTCCCTATAGGTGCGATCCTAGCCGTGCGACACGCAGCTGCTATTGACAGTGCAGCTTTGAACCGTTAATGCTATTCGGTTGCGATGAACCGGCGCACAATGTCCAGGTAGGTGGCGAGCTGCACTCGGTGCCGATCGCGAGTTTGTCAAAGTGATTACGACCGGCGAGGATGAATCGAGATGAAAGGCGCCGCCACCCAGGTGAAGCGCGGCGCAGCGGGGACGCGCACAAAACCTAATGCGCAAATTGTCTCTATGCAGAAGCCAAATCCAGAAATTAGATTTGATTTGAGTTGCGCTTTGCCTGTTTGATGTTGGGGCGCTCGAAAGTAACTCTTTATGCCCGCCGCGTGTAACTCTTTTTAATGCACTGCCGTGTCGCCGGTTCCGCGGAGTATTGTAAACACAGTGAATCTGGAACTCGGCACAGGTAACTTAAAAATATAGAAAGGATTTCGACCGGGCGTCTTGCCTTGACCTAAGGTGACCCGCGGATCTCAATTTCTGAATGGTTGCAGCATTGCTGCACGCAAGCCATGTCGCGATATTGCGAACACTGGATGTCATCGCATGTCATGTATTGCTTCTACTCACGAATCTGACTACATGCATGAGAGCACCCACGCAGAGTCTCGCGAGTACAGTACTTTGCAATTTTCTTCACTGCCAGAATCTTGATATGACGCAATTTCCTTTGTGCCTCGTTTCGCGTGACGAACTTAAACGAGTAAACTACATCTAGGCCGTTTCATCAAAGCGGGGGTATTTTATTCGACAATTTACCTTCCAAACAATTTTATGATTTTGCCATGTCTTGATATCGGCCGACATATACACGAATTCAGCGTCACTGCACTAATATTCGATTAGCGCTTACGCACCATACAACGTTAATTTCAAGCGGTCTGTCAAGTTGTGGTTTGTTTTAATGTAAAGAACTTCATCGGCCTCTCATGTTACATAATCGAAATAACAGCTGAAACGCGAAGGTTAGACATTTGGCGATGTACGAAATTGCCTGTAGCATTGCCACCCACCCTCTAACTGTCAGACAACAGATGACGATAGATAGCGGTGACGACCGTGCTTCTACTTGTAATCTATTTTTGTTGTTGTTGCTATTGCTGCTGCTGATGCTGATGCTGTTGTTGGTGTATCGTTTTTGTTGTCGTCGTTGTCACCCTCGTCGTCGTCGTCATCATCATCGTCGTCGTTGCTGTTGCTGCGGTTGTTGTTGTTGTTGTTGTTGCTGCTGCTGTTGTTGTTGTTGTTGTTGTTGTTGTTGTTGTCATAACTGCTGTTGCTGCTGCTGTTGTTGTTGATGATGATGATTCGTAGTAGTTGTTGTTGCTGTTGCTGTTGTTGTTGTTGTTGTTGTTGTTGTTGCTGTTGTTGTTGTTGTTGTTGTTGCTGTTGTTGTTGTTGTTGTTGTTGCTGTTGTTGTTGTTGTTGTTGTTGTTGTTGTTGTTGTTGTTGTTGTTGTTGTTGTTGTTGTTGTTGTTGTTGTTGTGTCATCACATTAGAGCTGCGGTGTCAGTGACGCGCCGGTGAATGCTGAAGAGTCCTTGAGAGCGTGCTCTGCAGTCAGTCACGATGCGCACCGAGAGGAAGCTGATACGGAGGCTGTCTGAGACTGACGTCGGGTGGCAGTACCTCCTTGTCAGATCATCCAGGCGTACATCCTGCGCGCAGCGTGTTCCGTGAATGCATAAAATACCTTGCGCAGATATTGATATCGCTCGCGGATATAGTAATGCATGAACTAACGCGCGCGGGATGAGGCAGTCTCGACGTCTCTATCTCTATCTCCATATCTCGCTTTCGTTCTTTCTCTCCCTATCTCACTCTATCTCTTTCTCTCTCTCTTATATATGATAGCTGTAATCACGTATGTCTGTACAACGAGCGCTTGAGCTGCATGTACCAGCGCGCAACGACGCGGTTCATACCTCAACCCGTTTACCTGCCCTAGCCACATGCTACCGGGGGGCAAGAAACAACTTCCTCTGTCAGCTCTAGACTACTACGCGCATGTAAGATACGACGATAGCGCCGTATAATGAGATTCCCACGGCAGGGCGACGTCCCGCACTAGCGAGGGGCGCGGTGCCGCCATGCAGGCTGGTCTTGTTAGCGCGAGCGAACACGACACTAAATGACACGCTAGTCCCGCGTCGCGCTGCATCGGCGCGTTTGTCATTCATGTGTGCGGCGCTGCCGTCGCGTGTACGCACCGTCGGCAGCCGAGGTCAGCCCGGGGTCACGCGATGCCGCGAGCCTCGTCGTCACGATGAAGTCATTAGCCTGGTGTTTTCTGTGCGTTAACCCCGTCAGTTCGCTTGCTGTTAATCCCCGTCCTGCTTGCTGTTAATCCCCGTCCCCTTCCATCTCTTACTCCTTCGTCTTATTCCTGCTTCCATCTCTTACTCTTCTGTCTTACTCCTGCTTCTATCTCTTACTTCTCTGTCTTACTCCTGCTTCTATCTCTTACTTCTCTGTCTTACTCCTGCTTCTATCTCTTACTCCTCTGTCTTACTCCTGCTTCCATCTCTTACT